CCCACCCTCTGAGGTATCTATATTTTAGAAAGAGCGGTTTACATCCTTGCTGAATGGCTGAGGACAGAACGTCAGTCTCGGGATCAACCACTTGAGGCCTAAAAAAAAATAAATGCATTTGAATCCTTAAAAGATCATTAAAAGAGAACTATGGGGTAACTTTTTTTTTATCCCATAATTCTTTTTAGGGTCATGGGAGGACATATTCTAGCGTCCTCCCGTGACACAAAGCTCAGTATATAGCGAGCTATGCCCGCTATATACGGAGAGCTCCGCAGCCGGGACAGATCCAGACGACGATGCTGTCGAGATCCAGCTGGCTGAGCCCGCTGTCAATCTAGGGGCAGAGCCAGCTGTGCCCACCCCCCTCCCCCGTCCATTTCTCCACTCATCGCTGAAAAATCGTGGAGGGGGGAAATCCCTGCAGGGAGCCGTGAGTGACAGTCACAGCTCTCTGCAGGGAGACGATCGGGAAGTGAGCGAGCGACGGTATGTGTTCTCTCACTCCCCGATCTATAGAGCCGACGTGTGACAGTCTCAATGTCACACATCGGCTCGAACTATGAGGAGGAGTGAAATGAGGAGGAGTAAAAATCACTCGCCTCATAGTTCTCCTTTAAATTTATTTTTACATAAAGCTAGCATAAGTACGTGAATCTGCCTTGATATCAGCTTCCTGTGATCCTCAGCACAGAAGCACTATGAGAAATCGGGAATTACTGTAAAAGTGAATGGGCCTGTTATGTGGTCTGTATGCAGTCTGCAGGAATGTGCAGAGCTCGGCTGTGCGGTCAGACTTGTGACCGACTGAACAGAATGACATCCTTTGGCTGGTAAAACAGTTTACACATATTAGTTTACCTTCAACTGAACATTAAACTCTCTTGAAACTTAAAAGTTGAGTTCACTTTCCCAAGTCATTTTGGGAAAATGGAATTACCTCGTCAAATCTGTTGCACTGTAAATATCTTTTTTTTTTTTATGTGTCCATATTTTGTATATACAGATATTTATTCACTGAGAGCTGAAAATAAACGTTTGGGAGGATTAAAAAATATTTTGTCTGAAAAGTGTCTTTTTTTCCTTCAAGAAGAATTTAAATACTGAATCCAAACTTATATTTTTTTCTTATTATATCCAGACATAATTGTCGGGATCCGCTTCAGCTGCGGCGTCCCAGTATACCGCGAGTAGCAGTTTGCGGTATACTGCGGCGTCTCAGTGCGGTATACTGAGCCTAGGGTGACGGGAGGACGCTAGTTTGTGTCCTCCCGTTACCCTAAGGAGAACTATGGGGAAAAGCCTTAACCCCATAGTTCTCCTTTTAAGTTGAATTTGGATGTAAGTTGGAACAGGTACATTTTTTAAGTGTAACTCCAGACCAAAACATTTTTTTAGTTTTGGATAGCACAGGGAAGGGTTAACCTCCTGTAATGTTTTGCTGTATGTGCCCCTGTTCAGAAGATTTCACCTCACTTTCTGTCCCTGTGGCAATTTGGAAAAATTGGAAACAAGGATTGGTGATAAATCTTCAATGGAGACACCGTTTTCCCATGATAACTCTTGTAGGAGTGAATTTTCCTTCCTAGAGGTAGATTTCCTTTCACTTCCTGTTGTCTCACGGACAGGAAGTTAGATTAAATCTTCCTCATGAGGATACAGACAGCAGTAAAAAACCTCAGTGACCCGGAAGAAGAGGTGGGCACCCCTCCGTCTGCACGTCTAACAAGAGCCAACTTCCTGTAATGTACGTACAGTACTACGAACCAGACCCAAAAAGTGGGCACTCCTCGTCAGCACAAGCGCGGTAGCTGAAATCCTGTGCGTTACACTTTGACTGCAGTCTGGGACCCCCCTGCTGTGCAGTAATAGCCTCTGTTTGTAAGTAGGGGTCATATGTAAGTCGGATGTTTTGTAACTCGGGGACAGCCTGTATATATCAAATGAATAATGTGTATGTTGTCAGTACATTAATTACCTGGACATCGAGGATCAAAGAAACAATAGAAAGTCATTTCTGTTATTATCTGCAGACTTGGAACGACTCAAGGTCGGCTTTAAATTCATAAAAATTATATGGTTGACATTTCAGGAATTTACTTATATGGACTTGTATGGTTACTGAAAGTTCTATGGATAATTGTGCACCTACAGTGAGGAAAATAATGATTTGATCCCCTGCAGACTTAAGTTTGCCCGCTTACAAAGAAATGAGGGATGCACCGGTACCAAGTACCGTACTCAGACACAGTACACGGAGCTCCTGGGATTTGTACATCACTGCATTCCCCCGTCCTGCCGAAGCCCCGCCCCCAGCTCGGTAACCAAGCTTGCTCTTAACTTACTTGCTCGTCACTGGTGAGGCATCGAGATCGATGTCCTCACTGTTTTTTTTGTTTTTGATTGGACAGCTTGGACCAATGGCGCTTTGCTATTGGTCCAAGCCGTCCACAAAGCTCACGCCTCTAACGCAGAGTAGAGGCTGTGGCAGCTCTGGCCTCACCAAGTTAGGTTACACTAGCAGTGGGGAAGGCCTCTGCTGTGTAACCAAACTACCTGTCAAATCCCAGATACAAAGCCGCCTGTAATTAACAGTCAGCACTCCGTCCATGACAGGTTACACAGTGGGGAGGCTTTCCCTGCTGTGTAACCTGTAACCAGCTGCTCTGAATGGAGTAAAAGCGGTCAGCTTAAGACTTGAAGCTGACACCTTTTTTTTTTCTTCATAATACTAGATGAGGCTCTGCCTCCCCTGACCGCACTTCCCTGGTGGGCTGTAGTCCTAACACGCTTCCTGTCCTATGATGACAACTTTTACTCTATAGATACATTACAGTGAGAGAGTGTTGTCACACCAGGACAGGAAGTGTGTTACTGGCAGGATCACCAGGTGAAAAAGGGGGGGGGGAAACTAATGCATCCACCACATGTTTAAGACTGGTAAGCTGCAATATTTTCCATTTTTGTTTTTGTGTTCAAACAGCAAATGCTGAAGTACGTTCCTCAGAGGCAGTTGATGTGAACTTTTCACTCCTGTGGACGGTAGCAAGGACACTTCCAACGCGTCCTCAAGTGGTTAACTCCAAAATAAAAAAATGATGTCCCTTTTTCTTTCGATCTTGTGCAGATGTTAGTTTTGTCCTTCAGACAACATCTGCTCCTCTAACACATACCCATAGACAGTGTCCGTGCCATTTAGATGTCTATAAATGTATCCAGTGACTACCTACCGTGTCATCATTTCAGATAATCAGGTTACACTTTGACAGCGGGGACATTGTATATGAGGTTGGGTAATGCAGAGAGTCACCCTGTGATCTGAATGATGAACTACTCACTCGGGAAGTGCCGAGGATTGTCATCTGGGGCTTTGTATAAATAAAGATATTTATTTACAGTCCAATCAAATTCTCACTATTTATATATCTTTATAGTCCCCATCCCCCACATGATATGATTTAACCCCTTAGTGACCAGTGATGTCCATAGTATGTCACTGGCACCGGGCCCGTTTAAACAAACTCCCGGCGGACTCTGTTTACATTTGTAAAGCCGACTATCGGCTTTACAATAGAAACGATTCTGGCAACTCATCTGTCACCAGATTGCTTCTCCGGGCCGGTATATGGGCCGCCTGACACCCCCGCCGTGTATCCCGGGCTCTGCTGACCCCCCCCCCCATGGGCCCGGGACTGGCTTCTTGGGTGTCGGTGGGAAGCTGGGGAGGAGATCGGTGAACGTCCATTCCCCGTGTTGTATTGCATCACTTCCGGTCCCACAGCTGTCATTCCTCGGCTCCTGAAGCCCAGCAATAAGCTATTGAAGTGCGATCTGCACTTCAATAGTTTATTTAGAGTGTAAAGGTGACACTAGGGGTCTTTTGGACCCCCAGTATCACCTTAAAGAGTACCTGTCACCACCAATCTGCTATCACATGGGGGACTTGTAAGCCCCTCTATGTGATAGCAATTATAGTAAAGTAAAAAAATATTTGGGAATATAAATTGGAATATCTGGCTGGCTGTGGCACGTGCCCACTGCCTGCTGTCAATCAGCAAGAGAGCAAACCTGATGGGAAACTCATTAGGCTCCGCCCACTGTCAGCTTCACTGGTCGGTAAGGACGCTCTCAGCTGTAGCAACCAGTTAAACCCACTGCCAGTGATATTGAGTGGATGGACCCTGATGGGGAATTCTGAAAACGGAGTTGCCCATCAGGTCCGGTTCCCGCAGACCATGACCACAAGAAAGTGCTATCTGAATTTTTTGGGCAGTTTTATTCACAGCTAGCTGTAATATGAAATGAAAATTTTGAAGTAGATGTAAACCCAACAATTAAAATCTCATATAACCCGCTTTCCAGCTTCCTGATTGGCCGGGAAGCCGGCTACATGCTGATTGGCTAGGAAGGTGGTTTCCCAGCCAATCAGAATCGAGCCGACCGAACAGCGGGCTCCTTGCTGATTGGCTGGAAAGCTGGCTTTCCAGCCAATCAGCATGGAGCTGGCTTCCCTGCCAATCAGGAAGTTAGGAGGCGGGTCATTACTCACCTCCAGGCTTCCTGATTGGCCGGGAAGCCGGTTTTGATGCTGATTGGCTGGAAATCCAGCTTCCTGGCCAGTCACAATCAAGCCGGCCAAACAACATGGAGCGGCATGTCATTGCCCATTTCCTGATTACAGCTGAGCTCAAGGCAGATAAAATGCACAAATGAAGGCAGCGCTGTAATAATAATACATCATTAAATGTATTTTAAATTCAAAAAATGTAAAATATTTAATGCAAGCAGCACAAGTACCTGAATATGACCTTCTATCAGCCTCATGCAGTCCCTGTACAGCAGGGCTGGAGTGTGAGAGGAAGAAGCAGCACACAACCCCAATCAGGCATGCCAATAGGAGTTGAGAGCAGAATGGCAGATAAGCTGGTTACTCTTCTGCTACTCCTTTCACTGTGCAGTCCCAGACTGTGGCGAGGATCTAGGATGACCTGGGCTCAGGGGGAAGTGGGTTGAATGATGCTAGCCACCAGAACGATGACATCTAGTAGTAGAAAATAAAAGTACTGCAAGCTAACTCTGACCTAAAGCCGACTATACTATCATATGGTATATTTGTTGTGTTATCTTCCTATAGGCTATTCATTCGTATTTCGTTTTTTTGCCTGGAGTTTTCCTCTACAGTTATATCGGTCACTGCCGTCTTGTGCCCACATGTAGAATATTAAGCTACCGTACATTATAATTTTAGAAGCTGGGCACTGGCAGCAGTTTGTTTGTTTTTTGTGTTTTTTTTTTAAAAAGATGTTGAAATAACAAAAATAAAAAGTAGAAAAAATATTTGCTTTGCAGATGTCCCGAGTTACAGAACGCCTCTTTCCTCGCTCCCTCTCCTCCAGCACATCCTGTCCTCTTGGCCCGGGCCGCTGGAGTCTGAAGTTTTAAGAACATTTCACAGCTTTTAAATATCCATCCCGGGTTATGGAGCATGTGTGTTTGATCAAAACTCAATCACCGCGCCGCACCGCGCTCGGAAAACTTATCTCCCCTTTATGAAAGATGACGAAACGGGGCCCGGGCCCTAATTGGTTCAATATGGACGTAGCATGTGGCCCGGGCTCCGCGTGATAGATCGCTTCCTATGTTAAAGGTTTAACGGAGCTTATGAGTGTCTTGGCTCACCTCGAGATATGAAGGATAAATATTGGTCCCTGGGAACACTTACATCATTGTCCCCTCGCATTTATTCACAGCCCTGGATTTAGGAAACTGTAATCATCTTACGAGGGCTTACAATAATGATTGCAAACGTAGTTTGTCATGAGGGACGACGGCCATTAGCGCGCGCCGGAGACAGTGGATGGCTCTGTTTGCGATGCGAAGTTGAAGAGGTGCGCGATGAATAATGGGCTCGTAGATGGGGATACTATTTTTTTTTTTTTTTATGTATCGGCGTGCTTTGTTTCCTGTGAAAACCTGGAGTTGCTGTAAGAATAGTGAACTGTACTCTCCAATTATATGTAGAGCGTTGACGGAAAGCGCTCAGGGGCCCAACATCTGAACTGGAGAATGGATTGTCCCAGTAATGTCGTGAAGCACCAAGCCCACTGGAAACGCTGCAACGATAAACTAACCCAGACGGCACCGCTCTGCCATGGCCCTCTTCTACTGTATCAAACTGCCCTTGGAGTGCAAACTAGAAAAAACATGGTACCTGCATGAATCTATAACTAGTCTTTATAGCAGGGCGCACATTGGGAAGGCTTACAACAATACAAAACACAAAGAATCCCCAGCTTTGGATTGTCCCAGTAATGTCGTGAAGCACCAAGCCCACTGGAAACGCTGCAACGATAAACTAACCCAGACGGCACCGCTCTGCCATGGCCCTCTTCTACTGTATCAAACTGCCCTTGGAGTGCAAACTAGAAAAAACATGGTACCTGCATGAATCTATAACTAGTCTTTATAGCAGGGCGCACATTGGGAAGGCTTACAACAATACAAAACACAAAGAATCCCCAGCTCACCTGCCAGCTAGCCTGCAACCAAACAAATTGCACTGTCAGGGCACTGTCAGGGCAATTTGTTTGGTTGCAGGCTAGCTGGCAGGTGAGCTGGGGATTCTTTGAGTTTTGTATTGCCCTTGGAGTGCACCCTCACTCCGATGCGTGATGGTCCCGAAATGGAAGATGGGCGCACACTGATGATGTCACGAAGTGTAAAAACGACTATTACAACTCCATCTCTATGGCCCGCCTCCCAATGCGTTTCACCCTTACAGGCTTAGTACGACTTATGGCCTGTACAGATGAAATGTGTTAAAGAGCTGACTCTCTAATGTGTTTCACCCTTACAGGCTTAGTAAAGGTCCCCACACACCTTACGATAATCGTACGATAATCGCCGGAAATCCCGCGATTGTACGATTACGATCTTGTCTTGCGATGGTTGTAAGGTGTGTGCCCAGCCTAAGACTTATGGCCTGTGCAGATGAAATGTGTTAAAGAGCTGACTCTCTAATGCGTTTCACCCTTACAGGCTTCCATGTTTTTGCAGCACATCCCACAGATGATGATTGGACTGAGAGCTGGAGAATTTGGAGGCCAAGTCATCACCTTAAACTCATTGCTGTGTTGCTCAAACTATTATTGAACCATTTTTGCAGTGTGGCAGGGCGCATTATCCTGCTGAAAGAGGCCACTGCCATCAGGGAATACCGTTTCCATAAAGGGGTGTACTTGGTCAGTAACAATGTTTAGGTCGGTGGTCCGTGTCAAAGTAACATCCACATGAATGGCAGGGCCCGAGGTGTCCCAGCAGAACATTGCCCAAAGCATCACACTGCCGCCGCCGGCTCGTCTTCTTCCCATAGTGCATCCTGGTGCCATCTTTTCCCCAGGTAAGTGACACACACACACCCGGCCATCCACATGATGTAAAAGAAAATGTGATCCATCAGACCAGGCCACCTTGGTCCATTTCTGATGCTCATATGCCCATTGTAGGAACTTTTGGCAGTGGGCACGGGTCAACATGGGCACCCTGACCAGACTGCAGCCACGTAGCCTCATACGCAACATTGAAGGTGTTGACTTGGCATCCACATGCTCCAGATTTCAATCCAATTGATCATCTGTGGGATGCGCTGGAAAAACAAGTCCGATCCATGGAGGCCGATCACCTCACAACTTACAGGACTTAAAGGATCTGCTACTGACGGCTTGGTGCCAGATACATCAGTTCTTGTGGGATCCATGCCTCCAGGGCCAAAGTTGGGGGGGTAGGGGGGGCATGTGCCCCAGGTGCCTCTTTAGGAGAGGTGCCGCAAGGTGTGTGGATGGAGAACTTCTCCTATGGGGAGAGCAACTCGGACCTATGCCCCGGGTGACAGAATGTCTAGCTTCCCTACTGCATGCCTCGACAAGTCAGAGCTGTTTTGGTGGCAAAAGGGGGTCCTACTCAATATTAGGCGGGAGGTCATAATGCTATGGTTGATCGGTACATACGGTGATGTGGAATTGTTGGCGTTATATAAATACCAATGTTAAATAAATTATGTATTTGCGGGTTGCTGGCGGTAGAACGCGCGTTTTACAGCGAGTTAATGCAACGCAAAGGTGTGAACAGTCCCTGCAATAAGCTGCAACATATTCCATTTCTTTCCTTGTGTTTAGATACATTGTAAATTATATTCCCTGAAGAACGGGCCAAAGAGAAGTTTTATTTGCCACAAAGAAAGTTTTGATTTAAAAAAAGTGCTACGCCTTGCAGATACCTTTACCTTATAAAGCAAATAGATTGTGACTCCAGGCACTTATACTTAAGCTCTTTTCTGGCAAATCAGCTTTTTTTGTATCGAATCTCACTTGACTGAATAGCACTGGAACTGCCACAGCAAATGCTATTATGTAAGTACAGTAATTAAGGAAATAGTCCTTGTCACTTGCCTTCTATAAGCTACGTCCATAGTAATAACATTAGACGAAGGAGGATTTTTTATTTTTTTAAATAAAGGGCATCTACTGAGGCACGGTGACTCTTGACACCGCATAAAAAGGTATCCAAAATAATGATTCCGACAGCAGGAAAGGATATCTTTTATTCATTGTATGGGTTTGAATTAAAAAAAAAAAAAAAAAAAAAATAGCTAAAGTGCCCTGGGTTTTATTTGAACAGTGTCAGCCGGTATTATGAGGGCTATCAAGTCATTATGAAAGAATGACATTGGAGAGAATCTGTGTGCCTCATGCCTTTAGCGAGGTCGTTGTCATACTGCTCATGAGATGGGAAAGAGGGACACCTTTATTGACAACATATTCAGTTTTGTCTCTTTTAAATAAACCAGCCATTTAAACTTAAAGGAGAACTATGGGGTCAGGGCTTTTCCCCATAGTTCTCCTAAGGGTCACGGGAGAACGCAAACTAGCACTCTCCTGTGACCCAAAGCTCAGTATACCGCGAGCTACAGCTCGCGGTATACTGTGACGCCGCAGCCGGGACGGATCCCGACAATACTTTCTGGATCCACCCAGCTGCGAGATTGACAGCTGGCTCTGCCTATCCAGAGGCAGAGCCAACTGTGCCCGCCCCTCCCCCGTCCACTTCGCTAGTCAGCGCTGGAGAATCTGACAGGGGAGGAGAGAATCCCTGCAGGGATCCGTGAGTGACAGCCACGGCTCTCTGCAGGGATAAATCGAGAAGTGAGCGAGCGCCGGTATGTGTTCGCTCACTTCCTGATCTACTGAGCCGACCTGTGACAGTTTAATTGTCACAGGTGAAAATCACTCGCCTCATAATTCTCCTTTAAAGCTGAACTCCAGGATAAGGAAATATTGTCCTCGTACAACAGTCACGTGCATTCTTCCTTGAATCTTGGTGAGCTTTGTGTATTTCCTCCAGATCTGTGCAGTAATCCAGTGTGAGACTCAGAGCTTCCTGTAATAAAGACCAACTACTGCTGCTCTTTCTACTTGTACAGGGTGACTGGTCCGGTCTCCGCCCCCCTCCTCCTTCTCCCTCTTGCCTCCCCCTCCCTTCTCCTTAATGCCTGCTGTGTATAAAGTTAATCAACTGTCACTTCCCGAACCATCTCAACAGGAAAGGAGAGGCTGGGGCCCCAAATTCACTGCAGTTGTTTGTTCTAGGTCAGAGGGAATATGTTTCAGCTCTCATAAATTCCAAAATATTAGTCATGGGAAGATGAGAGTTATTCCTTCTGATAGCATGGGATATGAGCTGAATGCAGATGCAGAAATGTATGTTCTGGCCCTAAGGTCTGGTTCCCACCTTGGCGTATTTCCACCCGTCCCTAACGCGCTACAAAACGGCCCACGCCTGAAAAGGTACATGTACTACTTTGGGCCGTTTTTGTTGCGCGTTTCCATTGGGATACAGCCAAGTAGCCCTCGGAAACGCGCATTTGTCGCGCGACAGACGCGCATATGCAATACGCCTAGGTGTGAACCAGGCCTTAAGAACAACCTAGGGACTGACTGAACAGTTTTATGGACTCTGCCTGTGGCAGCTATGTTGTGTTTGGACTTGCTGTAAATGGGATGATGCACTGGTGTCGCAAATCCTAATTCTGACCCAACCATGAGAACTGGCAGGTCCATAGAACCTATGACCACTTCAAGAGGCAGGAACCCTCTGAACGCCAGGTTTGGTCCCAGAGGCACAGGAGGAAGTTAGGCGGGAATTCATCTTTTTGACAGTTGTCCCTGTTGGAAAGATTTCCCCTTACCTCTTGTTCTGGGGACTAATCTAAAATATTATGTTTTCGCTCTCTGCCAGTGGCATTGGTCACCAGTTCATATAGCTCGGGGTGGAATCTCCCCAACTAGGACATCAGAAGACAGCAAAAAGAAAATTAACAGTGGGTCTGACCCTATCCCCACTCTATCCAAAACAAACAAAAAGGGGCCATATGCCTTCCGATACAGTTTAAAAACATAGTCTACCTTTGTAACTATGTTTCATGTTACATGAAACAACCCATGTAACATAAAATATGGTCACCTTCCACAGCCCCCACCCTCAAATTTCCCCTGCCTCTACTTACCGGAATCGTGGGGTGTTTCTCCCTGGAGCATCCTGTGTATATTTTAGGGATGTTCAGACACCAAGTACTGTACTCGGTACAAGTACAAGTACAGATACTTTTCTAGCTCCAAGACTACACTAGAGAAAAATTCAAAAGTTGGGAGGCAGCTGCCATTTGTAAGGAGCACACGGAGCTCCCGGGATTTATACATCTCTGTTTTAATGTATGATTTAAAAAAAAGATATATATATATATAAAGGGATGCACCGATAACATTTTTTTCAAGTACAAGTACTTATACTTGTCTGAGTACTCACAGATACAAGTACTGATACATTTTTTATTGTCATGTGACAGTTTTTCTAAAACAATACAGACTAATGATTTCAGTACAGTGGTGGTGCACCAGAGCCCGGTCCCAGCTGCGACCGCTGCAACCCTGGGAGTTTTCGTGAAAATGCCAAGTAACTGAACTGGTATCTGAACATGAATAACTACATGTGCCGAGCTACAACAATGATCAGAATATAAAGAGTGTAAAAAAACACAGTGACTCAAACAAATGTGAGTGGAAAAAATCAATCAGGTGTAAAATCTTTAAATCTTCATAAATCTGCAAAAATGTCCAAATATAGCAATAGTGATGAATATTTCTTGTCCTACTGAATTCCTGATGGGCTGTGTTAATTGAAAGTACCGTATTTTTCCGTCTATAAGACGCCCCCATGTATAGGACGCCCCCCACTTTTCTTACCCAAAATTCAGAAATCAATATTTTCCATGCTCTTTTGCATAATTGATGCATCTGGGCACTGGCTACAGGCTCTGTGCAGCATCAGCTGACGTCGGGTACATAAGGCTTATGATTGGAGGAAACCTGTTAGCTTGTCTCTGCAATCGGAAGTTTCACTCGTGAGGCTAGTCTGCAGAGGTATCGGCAGTTTCGCAACCGTGGTTCTCCTCTCGGCCCCCCGTATATAAGACGCCCCTCCATTTTTAGGTAAATATTTTTAAGAAAAAGTATAGTCTTATACAGGTAAAAATACAGTGATATAGCAGAGAACTGACGTAACTGATTCATCTACTGTGTACAAGGGACAATCCCAAAAGTCTTGGCTGATACAATGTAACATTGAAAGTATAATAAATATCCGGATCTCTCTAATAAGGTCAGCCCGAACAAATCCTTATCTGAAACGCCGAATATTTTTAGATAGACTAGAGTCCATTGATTTTAGAATAAAAAACTAACTTTTGGACTTAATAATTAATACCTCCTCCAAGCCCACATAGTCTCTGTGGTGGTCTATTAAATTTTCAGGTTCAGCCTGGCGCTGTTTCCACGTCTAGCATTGAAAGCAGAGGTATAATTAATTAATACGCGCGTTGTTTAAAGTCTTGACAAGACCCCGCTTGGCCTTTGAAAGTTCTGAATTTGAAAAGGTCAGGCTTTCTACTAAAAGGAAAAAAAAATTCTACTTTAGTTTTTGGTTTTTAGAACATTCGCGGGGTGGACGGGGCAGAAACCAATCAGAATGAAAGACTGTTGAAAGGGCTAGCCAATCACAATGGAGCGATCACATCAGCCAGATATCATAAAAGATCAGAGGAAAAAAAAGGATAAAAAGAGAAATGAGGTAGACCTCGCAGAACAAGTAAGATAATGTGAAAGATAGAAAACCCAGCTAGCCTTTCTCAACCTTTTTAACATGGAGGAACCTTTGAAAAATGTTCAGGCCTCGGGAACCCCTGCTAATAATTTCTATATCTACAACTCAGAGAACATTGGCTTGAAAAGTAAGTCGGGTGACAATAATAAATAAAAGAATAAGGAATGTGGTGTAGATTAGGTATTTGACACCCAGGGCTGCTCTATATAATAAAATTATTTTCGGTAATAATAAAACTAAACAAAGAGTAGAGAAGAAATGCATACAATGCAAATTGTAGTGTTTGCTCACATTGGTTGTCCATGGAAAAGTACCTGGTGGTCAGTAACATACCCTCTTTACTGGTTATCAGTGAACAGCTCCTGTAGATTGGTGGTCAGTAGAGAAGGGCCCCCATAACTTGGTGATCAGTGAGAGAAGGCCTACCTTACATTAGTGGTCAGTGGTGGGACTGCCTTACATTGGTGGTCAATAACATACTCCCTTTACTGGTGGTTAGTGAACAGCTCCATTAGATTGTTGGTCAGTAAAGAAGGGCCTGTGGTTGCATTAGTGTATACAAATACACTAATGCAGCCACAATTACCTTACTAATGGGAGAAATTACACTTTAAAGGGACCCTGTCACCAGACTATTCATTTCAACAACAATTTTCCCATAAGATTGTATGAACATGTAAAATATATTAGGCATGTAGCTTATCTGTAAAAAACCTCCCTTGTGTAGACGCATGAAAGGACTGTGACTGGTGTTGGGTGCCAATAGCTGTGATTTCAGCAGCCCCAGCAGACTCACTCAAGGGACACTTAATAGTATTCCCCTTTACTCCACCCCCTAGCAGCTACATGAAAGGTTATGTAGGGAAGTGAGGGGAGGGGCAGAGGAGCTAGGCCAGCACAAACAGTAATTAGACACTCTCAGAAGAGGATCGGACTAAGATGTACAAGAAAGGAGGGGGGATGCTAAGGAATTGACGCTCCTGATGAAGTCAAATTTTCTAACAAGTTCTGAGGCACATTGCAACTTGATGGGGGAAAAAATCATATATATAAAACAAAAATTCAGCACGAATGCATTTAAGATACTTGGTCTCTCTGTGCTTTTAACTGCATTTTTTAAGTTGTTGACTGGGTCTCTTTAAAGTAGTTTTGCTCAGATTGAAGCCTCTGTCAGGTTTTTATTGCTGGGGTTTGTCCTTCTGACCAAAAGTGATGGGAGATCCAAAATGATTCAGTATTTTTCTCCATAATAAGAGGTGACGGGAAATCGTCCAATGGGGACCCCTGTTCCAGTGCTAACTGCCAAGAGGTGATTTTACCTCACTTTGGAAGGGATTTTTCTTACTTCACGGTGTGTCTCCACAACAGGAGTTGAAGGGGAATCTCATATTGCTCATTCCGAATCACAACATTTTTCAGCGTGTTTAGTTGAGTCGTCTCCTTGTCTTAGATATGAAAAATAATTAAAGGTGATCAAAAAATGCATGGTTCAAATTCTCCTATATCCAATCAAAATATTGAAATGATAAGACATGAAAATGTCTCCTGGACACCCCTGTGGGTGAAGTGATTTTACAGCGTATCAGTCTATTCTACAACACTGCGATCTCGCTTGATAAGTAACTGCCTTTCGCTTGTATGCAGAGATAGTTCTAATCATTTCTGGCCTTATAAATGGCCCGTCGAAATCCATTCAGAAATAACTGTACTTTCCTTAGGATGCTCTGCGCGTTCCCAGGGCCTGCCCAGTGATGGTAATATTTCTACTTAACATGGGTGGCTTCAGCCAACAATTTACAAGATAGCGCTCAATAAATACTTCTGCCGCGGATTATAAATAGCTGGCGCGCTCTGAAAGCCACAAGCAACCCTACTGATCCCTTTTTATTAAATCTATCGCTGGCGGATGAGCCATTTCACGCTGCAATGTAGAAGAAAGTGTCTGTATTAACCGAGGAATGTGTTAAACTGCTGCCGGAAACGGAGAAATATACATCGTGCCTAATATTACTGTAAGCGACGGGAGGACACGATCCCGCTACATGGGATTACAGCTAAAAAGATTACAGTTTATACACCAGCCATGCACCGCTACAATGCTGACAGCTTTTATAAGATGTTTTACAGTTTTAACTGTGTGATTTTATCTAACAAAAGTATCAACATACAGCCAGAAGTCATTAATAAGTATCAATATAAGGCCAGAAGTCATTAATAAGTATCAATATAATGCCAGTAATCATTAATAAGTATCAATATAAGGCCAGAAGTCATGAATAAGTATCAATATAAGGCCAGAAGTCATTAATAAGTATCAATATAATGCCAGGAATCATTAATAAGTATCAATATAATGTCAGGATTTATTAATAAGTATCAATATAAGGCCAGAAGTCATTCATAAGTATCAATATAATGCCAGGAATCATTAATAAATATCAATATAAGGCCATAAGTCATTAATAAGTATCACTAAAATGCCAGGAGTCATGTGTAAGTATCAATATAAGGCCAGAGGTCATTAATATGTATCAATATAATGCCAGGAGTCATTAATAAGTATCAATATAAGGTCAGAAGTCAATAATATGTATCAATATAATGCCAGGAGTCATTCATAAGTATAAATATAAGGCCAGAAGTCATTAATAAGTATCAATATAATGCCAGGAATCATTATTAAGTATCAATATGAGGCCAGAAGTCATTAATAAGTATCAATATAATGCCAGGAATCATTATTAAGTATCAATATGAGGCCAGAAGTCATTAATAAGTATCAATATAATGCCAGGAATCATTAATAAGTATCAATATAAGGCCAGAAGTCATTAATAAGTATCAATAAAATGCCAGGAATCATTAATACATATCAATATAAGGCCATACGTCATTAATAAGTATCACTATAATACCAGCAGTCATTAATAAGTATCAAAATAAGGCCAGAAGTCAATATAGAGTATCAATATAAAGTATTAATATAATCTCAGAGGTCAACATAAATTATCAATATAAAGCCAGAAGTCAATATAGAGTATCAATATAAAGTATTAATATAATGCCAGAGGTCAACATAAATCAATATAATGCAAGAAGTCAATATAAAGTATCAATATAATAACAGAAGTCAACAAGTATCAATATAATAACAGAAGTCAACAAGTATCAATAT